AAAAAAAAAAGAAAAGAAAAAAAGACTTTCTGAAGAGGACAGGAAACTACACAGAAAAGACAATAAATGAAAAAGAATCCCAATACTTTAGGGCTAAATTATCAAGTTACCTGTGCGATCTCTTCTGTTTTCCTCAGCTTCTCTTCCCAAGTCACTGTTAGTTCTTTTATCAGCTTTTCAGACTCTTCAAGCTTCTCCTTTAGTTCAGGGGCCTTCATGGCCTTAAAATGAAACCAGAGATAGAGGACATTCAAAATTTTTCCAGCATTATATACAAGACAATCAGTTACTGTCCCTCGTAAGCAGTTAACAATAGTCTGCTGGAAAAAATTAAGTTATATGCTGTTGGGGTGGGTTTTAACCTTTATTTATCAAACGAATGTAAGAGAATGTGGCTGCTCCTGTTCCAAGGAGAAAAAGAAATAGCAATGTCCTGAGTGAACATGAAACAAATCATTAGAATCATTTTATCCATCATTCTTAGATCTCACATTTAAAGCCCTAACAGATACTAATGTTCAACTTTGAAACAGATAATTAGGAAAAAAGTTGACTTAAGCAGACTTCCTTTTCAATAAGACAGAAATTAACACTCATCATCAATAAATAAATTCCAATTAAATTAATCTGCTAGAAAAGGTAAAGACTTCTCATGTATTTTAAATTTTGAATCTGGGCGTTTGGACTACCTTTCTCCACTGATGGTAATACATTTTGCTTATTTACTGTTCACCCAGAAGCAGCATAGCTCGGTAAAAGGGCTGTGCTTTCCCTTCTCGTTTGTTCAGGGAGGGTAATTAAGAGGTTTCATTGCAGATATTTGCAGCTTAACAAAATATTCAGGGGAGAGGTCTTTCCTTGTCAATGATATGCTTTGATACCTTAAAGTAACATGAGCCTCTACAGAGTAAAACTCTATGAACAAGAAAGATGGCAGAGCTTGGATAACGAGCTGGGATGTGATGATATGAAAGCTAGCTGAGTATGCCTGAGGCTCATGGTATTAACAAAGCCTGACAGTGGCATTTAGTGCTGAGTACAGTGGGACATATATGAAAATTACAGACGAGGCCAGTGGCTCAAGCCTATAATCCCAACACTTTGGAAGGCTGAGGTGGGCGGATCACTTGAGGCCAGGAGTTCGAGACCAGCCTGGCTAACATGGTGAAACATTGTCTCTACTAAAAATACAAAAAATTTGCTAGGTATAATGGCACATGCCTGTCTGTAATCCTAGCTACTTGGGAGGCTGAGACAAGAGAATCACTTGAACCCAGGAGGTGGTGGTTGCAGTGATCCAAGATAGTGCCACTGCACTCTAGCCTGGGCAACAGAGTGAGACTCTGTCTCAAACAAACAAACAAAAAAAAAACAAAAAGAATAAAAGAAACAGAAAAATAAAATTATAGGTGGACCTATGTGGCTCCTCTTTTGTTTCCTTTGGTCAGGTATTGCTCAAGCCATCTGATCTAGATTACATGGTCACAGTAGAAATGCAAATAAGTAGATGATCCACCTATAAACACATTGCAGAACCATTATACTTTCCTCCTAGCATCATGACTATTTTCAAAGTTTATCAGCATTTTATTTTTTCTGGTGTTTTGCTACCCTTCTTAGCATCAACTAAAAAATTATACTTAATGCACTGAATGATTATAAATGATGATAATAAAAATCAGCAACATTTATGGAGCACTTACTATGTGGAAGACATTGTGCTAAGTGCTTTCTAGTATCATTGTCAGGCTAGGGGTTAGGGCTAAACAAAATTATTAAGGCAGGGCACAGGGGCTTATGCCTGTAATCCCAGCACTTTGGGAGGCCGAGGTGGGTGGATCATGAGGTCAGGAGATCAAGACCATCCTGGCCAACATGGTGAAACCACATCTCTACTAAATATACAAAAATTAGCTGAGCGTGGTGGCAGCTGCCTATCATCCCAGCTACTCTGGAAGCTGAGGCAGGAGAATCACTTGAACCTGGAGACAGAAGTTGCAGTAAGCTAAGGTCACACCATTGCGCTCCAGCTTGGTGACAGAGCAAGATTCCATCTCAAAAAAAAAAAAAAGAAAAAAATTAATAAAACACAGCATCTTGTACTTTAAGAGCCATAGCCTGAAAGAAGAGAAAGATATATGAATAAACAATTTCAACGCAATGCCAAGATCACCAATGAATAGAGTGTTCAGACTCCTGGCTATAGCTTTTTGTGTTTTCAGTCTTCTATTGATTACTTTTTGATGAAATATGCTGATGGATCAAAGTATTTACATAGTGTCTGGCATATACATGATCGATAAATAGTGGCCATTAACTCTGTTTTTCTTTCTTTTTTTCTTACAAGTTAATCCTCTCCCAACTTCAGTGGGGTCAGAAGAGAGTGGTGAAGGAATGTAAACTTAGAAGCATCAGGTATACTCCCAAGTCCTGACATGTGGAACCCTGTGACTTAAATAAGGCACTTGGCTTCCAAAGCTGTCCTCTTACATATTTCAAATGAGACATGGCCTCACCCAATAATTTGCAAAAAGCAATACCTATTTGGAATAGTATATCATTATTAAAGTTTGAGTAAAGCCAAAGAAGAAAGATAACAGTACAAAAAGATTTTCTTTCTTGATATAAATGGAAAAGTAAAAGATTTCTGAAGTATTCCTAATGTTTAATTATCCTTGATCATGCTGTTTCCATGGCTTAACAAGGAGATGATACCTAACTAAGTTCTCTGAAAATTGCAAGGCTGTGTGGAAATATAGTCTATAATGTTAATAAAAACAGCATACTTTCCCATTGACAATTCAAAGGCCAACTGATTCACTGAAGCAAATGGTCAGGTAGTAGCAGGAATTATCTCTCATTTGTTTGCTTCTGTGACTATAAGTTCCTAGGACATAAGTCTTGTATTACTCGTGTTGGTCTTCACAATGCTTAGCACTTGGCAGGTGCCAATAAACACTGAAGTGCTGAACCACACTGAGATGATGTATTAATTAGTCTGTTCTCACACTGCTATAAAGAAATACCCCAGATTGGGTAATTTATAAAGAAAAGAGGTTTAATTGGCTCATGGTTCCACAGGCTGTATAAAAAGCATGGCGGCAGAGGCCTCAGCAAACTTACAATCATGGCATAAGGGGAAGCAGGCACATCCTACATGACTGAGCAGGAGGAAGGAAGTGAAGGAGGAGGTGGCACACCGTTTTAAACAACCAGATCTGGTGAGCACCCACTATCACAAGAACAGCAAGGGGGAAGGCCACCCCCATGATCCAATCACCTCCTCCAACACTGGGGATTACAATTTGAATATGAGATTTGGGTGGAGACACAAATCCAAACCATATCAGATGACCTACAACAGCAAACAATGACCTACAATTGCAAACGAGCACACCCTTGCCAGTTAAATCCCGCAAGCCAGGGAACTTTACCAACAGGGAGCGCCAGGCTGCTTTTACCTCTGCTTGAGAGAGCTGCTCTCTCAGTTTCTCAACTTCCTCCCGCAGTTCTCGGATCACTTTTGCGTTGGGGTCCTCATTCACAACAGCATGGTTCACAATCCTTTTGGCTCGGTCTGCATATCTTAACGTGGAAAGGGTTTCTTCATAGTTGTCTGCTGCTGGGCTGATGGTAGCTATCATAGAGGTTTGGCTATTTCCTCCCAAATTGTCCTGCAAAGTATTTCAAACAGCATCTTAGGAAGCCCATTCCGTGAACAACACGTACGATCAAAGCACTAAATGTGTTACGTATGACATTATTCTCTATAAAGAAAACATTATGTGGAAATGGACTTGCATTTTACAAATAATGTCACGACAAGATGAAATGTATTTTCTCTATATTCACAGCAATGACTAATGCCTGTCAAACAGCATTCTAAGCAGTAGAAAATAGTTTTTATTCCATGTTCCTAGGAATTAGAATAACTGTCATCAGGAGAGTTCTTTATACATTCGCTTAGCTTTGCACACACCTTTACTCTGTGGCATCTGGAACAGCCAATTTTTAGTTGGAAAATAAAACTAGAGCAATGGATTACCTTAAGCAGCCAAGTGAGGACTGAATCTCGATAAGGCACAAATTTGCTTTTACCCTTGCCAGCTGCCTGGTCAGCCAGTGATGATATAACCAACCCCAAGGTTGTAAGCGATCTGTCAATAAAAAATAAAAAATTAGTTTTATGAAATGTTTATTTGGTTTAAATATAAAATATGCAGAACAATAAGGCTCTGGTGTTGATATAATGAAGTCCCTACTAATTTGTCAAGAAAGTGGGGGAGGCGGCCAGGCGTTGGTGGCTTATGCCCATAATCCCAGCACTTTGGGAGTCCAAGGTGGGTGAATCACTTGAGGCCAGGGGGTTTGAGCCCAGCCTGGCCAACACGACAAAACCCCATCTCTACTAAAAACGCAAAAATTAGCTGGGCGTGGTGGCAGGTGTCTGTAAGCCAAGCTACTTGGGAGGCTGAGGCAAGAGAATCACTGGAACCTGAGAGGTGGAGGTTGCAGGGAGCTGAGATCACACCACTGCACTCCAGCCTGGATGACAGAGCAAGGTTCTTTCCAAAAAACAAAAGCAAAAACAAAGAAACCCTACAAAAACCAAAATATCACAAAGAGAAAGGGCTTTGCAAATGGTTTAAATGCGGCCAGGTGCGGTGGCTCATGCCTGTAATCCTAGCACTTTGGGAGGCCGAGGTGGGTGGATCACGAGGTCAAGAGATCAAGACCATCCTGGCCAACATGGTGAAATCCCGTCTCTACTAAAAATACAAAAATTAGCTGGGCATGGTGGCAAGTGCCTGTGGTCCCAGCTACTCAGGAGGCTGAGGCAGGAGAACTGCTTGAACCCGGGAGGTGGAGGCTGCAGTGAGCTCAGACTGCACCACTGCACTCCAGCCTGGGCACTAGAACAAGACTCTGTTTCCAAAAAATAAAAAATAAAAAATAAAATAAAATAACAAAGGACACAAACCAGCAAGTGAGAGACTAGACAGCTTTATTTGCAATGTTAGCAACAGATTTCCAACAAATAAGCTGTAAAGAAAGAAGCATATTTCCCATAAAACATAATTCCCCAAAGATGAGTCACTGAAAAGTCCCTGAAATACAACACCAACTCAAGATTCAGAAAACGAACCAGAATTCATTTTATCAGAATGACCATTTGAATTTTAATAACAGCCATTACCACAGAGTGGCATAAATATGTACATCTTAAGTAAAACAAGTCAAAAAAATTAAAATTAAAAAATAAAAAATAAAGAAGTCAGATACAGAACAAATATTGCTTGTTCTTACTCATCAGTGGAAGCTAAATAATGTGGACTCATGGACACAGAGGCTGGAATGATAGACAATGGAGATTTGGAAGGGTGAGGGAGCAGAAGGGAGAGGATGACAAGCTTAATTAATTTTTTTTTTTTAGATGGAATATTACTCTGTCACCCGGGCTGGAGTGCAGTGGCGTGATCTGGCTCACTGCGACCTCCACCTCCTGATCTCAAGCAATTCTCCTGCCTCAGCCTCCCCAGTAGCTGGGATTACAGGCACCCACCACCACACCTGGCTGATTTTTGTATTTTTAGTAGAGATAGGGTTTCACTATGTTGGCCAGGCTGTTCTTAAACTTCTGACCTCTGGTGACCCATCCGCCTTGGCCTCTCAAAGTGCTGGGATTACAACCACTGTGTCGGGCCAAGAAGCCTAATTAATGCATAATGAGTACAATGTACGTTATTCAGGTGATGGATGGCCAGGTGACAGATGCCTTAAAAGCCCTGACTTGACCACTGCACAATCTATGCATGTAACAAAATTGCACTTGTACCCCATACTTTTATACATAGAAAAAGTGACATTATACTTGACAGATTTAAAAGTTAAACACATCTAACTCAAGAGAAACGAAAACATAAGTCTACACAAAAACTTGTACATGACTATTCAAAGCAGCTTATCCACAAAAGTCAAAATGTGGAAATGACCCAATGCCCATCAAATGATGAAGTGATGAATAAAATCTGGTATATCCACACAGTGGGACATTATTTGGCCATAAAAGGGAATTAAGTCCAGATACATGTATCACAACAACTACAACATGGATGAACCCTGGGAAAATTATGCTACGTGAAAGAAGCTAAACACAAAAGGCCGTTGTCCTGGGTTGAACAGTATTCATGTCCACCAGACCCTCAGAATGTGATGCTGTTTGGAAATAGGATCCCTGCAGCTGTAATCAGTTAAGATGAGATCATGCTGGATTAGGAAGGGCTGTAATCTAATGAGGGAAGTCCTTATAAGAAGGTCATATAAAGACACCCAGGGGAGATGGCCATGTGAAGACTCAGGCAGAGATTGGAGTGACGTACCTGCAAGCCAGTGAATGCTGAGAATTGCTGGCCTTACAGAAACAAAAAGAGAGGCATGGAATAGATTCTCCCTCTGACCCCTTAAAAGGGAACAAACCCTGCTGACTCCTTGATTTCAAACTTCTGGCCTGCAGAATTGTGAGAAATACATTTCTGTTGTTTTAAGCTACTCACTTTGTGATAATCTGTTACAGTAGCAATTGCAAGCTAACAGAGCCATATACTGTATGATTTCATTTATATGAAATATCTCGAATAGGCAGATCTATAGAGATGGAGGTAGTGGTTGACTAGCGCTGGGGCAGGGGGCGGGGTAACAGGGAATGATTTGGGTACATGGTTTCTTTTGGGTATGATGAAAATGTTTTAAAATGAGACTACAGTGATGGCTGTTCAATTTTTGAATATATTAAAGCTACTGAATGGCACACTTTAAAATGGCGAACTATACTGCATGTGAGTTACTTCTCAACACAGCTGTTTTAAAAAAATAAGTCCAATCACTCCTCCAAAGTTAACAATTTTAGGAAAAAAATACTGTATGTGATCATAGAGGCAAGTAGGAATTCAATATAAGGTAAAAACACATTTCTGCTTTAATACAGAATACATGGCATTTTTTTTTCACATTTTGCAACTATCAATTTTTTTTAAACTTGTTTTATTTTAATGGTTGATCTATGTAATCATGGAGGCCAGTATATACAAAGGGGGAGCTTTTATTTCTTGGTCTCTTCCTCCTTGGACAAAGTCTTAACGATCTCCTCCTCCTTGCCTGGAGGCCTCTTCCCGGTGCTTGCATGCTTCCTTGGTCTTAGACCTGCAGGCCTCAGCCTGGGCAGCCAGGAGTTTCTTGTGGGGGCCTTGTCTGCCTTCAGCTTGTGGCTGTGTCTCATGAGAATCCACCTGTTTTTTAATACATTCCCCTTCACCTACAGGTACAGGCTGTGATCCATGTGGTGATCAATCTTAGATTCCCGGTAACTGAGCAGCCAGAGCAGAATCCTCACTCTCCTCATCCACATGACCTTCTCTGGTATTTGTGCATTGGCTGTACCCTTCCGCTTACCTGTGCCCATGTGCTTGCCCTTCTGGTGGGCCAAGGTGTTTTTCAGGCATCGAGCCTGGGAATGGGCCGTCACGGGATCAGACCATCTTTAATCATCTTCCAGATCTGCTGACGGGAGTTGGCATTGGCAATTTCACTGATCTCATTGGGGTCCAACCAGACCACCTTCTTGCCACAGTGGAGGACACTGGAGGCGAGTCTCTTCAGAAGCTAGAGCATACTCATGGCTGTGGCCACAGCAGGGAAAGGAATGAGCTCCAACCATCAACATCTTCTACTGCAAACAATTCTTTGAACTATCCCAGATATTTTACTACCTCAGTATGGCAGATATTATTTTAACTGGCACAAACTCTAAAGAGCTCAGTGACTTAAATGTCAGTATTAGTGACTTTGTGGTTAACCGTGACGTTTCACATGAAAATACATTTTGGAGATGACATGGGTTTTTTTCTATCACCAAGAGATTTTCCTTCCTTGTGGCAACTACTTATAATTTCTACTTTGACAGTGTAAGGGGGAAAAACAGAAAGTTTCTGGCACTCCTAAATGTAGAAACATAAAATCCAAAGAGCACTTTGAGAGAAAAAAGGAAAGATACGGTGTCATCAACGTCCCCTGTGCAACGCCTTGTCTACAAGATGACTGAAGGGTGCCAGAATATGGATTATTTTAAGCTAGAGGCCATTGAGAACCAGCAGGCTCAGGAAAAGCTCTAAAAACAGGGCATCAATTTTCCTTTTGTAAAGGACATTTCCATTTGTAGAGGTGTCTCCCTCTCTAGCACCAAGAATGGGAGTACGGTTAACAACTCTTAAAAGTGGAGAAGTGACAGAAGCCTATGTAACAAACCTCTCTAGACAACTCTTGTTCACCATACTCTTCCCGGTCACCTCCCCATAACTTGCCCAAAACACCTTCCCATCCAGAAGCCCAAAACCCCTTTTCCTTTTTTTTTTTAAAGACAGGGTCTCACTTTGTTGCGCAGGCGCTGGCATGGTCACAGCTCACTGTAGCCTCAATCTCCCAGGTTCAGGCGATCCTCCCACCTCAGCCTCCTGAGTAGCTGGGACTACAGGTGCATGCCACCACACCTGGCTAATTTTTTGTAGAGATGGGGCCTCACTTTGTTGCCCAGGCTGGTTTTGAATATTTTATTCCTTGGCAGCTTAAAACTGGGCTCAAAGGATCCTCTTGCCTCAGCCTCCCAAAGTGCTGGGATTACAGGTGTGAGCCACCATGCCCAGTCATAAGCCCAAGTTATAACCACCACTTTGGGTTACTCATCCCTGGGTGCTCCCATATGTAAGCAAGATGCATATGCTAATAAAATTCTAGTTGCTTTTCTCTTGTTAATCTGTCTTTGGCCAGTCTAACTTGCAGCAGAAATAGAGGAAAAATATTTTTTCTCCCCTACATCAGTATAGCATGTAAGCAGCAGCAAAGGGGTGGAGCTGTATGGAAGAGGTTACACAACTCCAGTTTCCATGTGTATTCTGCTCTGTAACTCATCCAGTTAGAGAAGTGTATCATTAGTAGAAGCCACCCCTTTTATCTAATACCACGCACATGTTCAGAACAAGAACTCTATCGAAATCTATTATCGTCCCCTCGGAATAGAATGAAAATAACTGCAGTGTGACTGGGATTCAACGGCAAGTGAGAGATAATCAGGTCACCCAGGGAGGAGGAGCCCATACTATCCTTT